CATGGCCTCTCCTATCATTGCTACGCAGACGACACACAACTAATCTTCTCCTTTCCCCCTTCTGATAACCAGGTGGCGAATCGCATCTCTGCATGTCTGGCAGACATATCAGTGTGGATGACGGTTCAGCTTGAGGTGGTGATCCTCGGCAAGACGGAGCTGCTCTTCCTCCCGGGGAAGGACTGCCCATTCCATGATCTCACCATCACGGTTGACAACTCCGTTGTGTCCTCCTCCCAGAGTGCGAAGAGCCTTGGCGTGAGCCTGGACAACACCCTGTCGTTCTCCGCTAACATCAAGGCGGTGACCCGATCCTGTAGGTTCATGCTCTACAACATTCGGAGAGTACGACCCTGCCTTACACAGGAAGCGGCACAGGTCCTAATCCAGGCACTTGTCATCTCCCGTCTGGATTACTGCAACTCGCTGTTGGCTGGGCTCCCTGCCTGTGCCATTAAACCCCTACAACTCATCCAGAATGCCGCAGCCCGTCTGGTGTTCAACCTTCCCAAGTTCTCTCACGTCACCCCGCTCCTCCGCACACTCCACTGGCTTCCAGTTGAAGCTCGCATCTGCTACAAGACCATGGTGCTTGCCTACGGAGCTGTGAGGTGAACGGCACCTCCGTACCTTCAGGCTCTGATCAGTCCCTACACCCAAACGAGGGCATTGCGTTCATCCACCTCTGGCCTGCTGGCTCCCCTACCTAAAAAAAAACATTGTAATGTGGTTATCCCACTGGCTATAAGGTGAATGCACCAATTTGTAAGTCGCTCTGGATAACAGTGTCTGCTAAATGACGTAAATGTAAATGTAAATGCTGTCCCCACATGCTTCAAGATGGCTACCATTGTTCCTGTACCCAAGAATGCAAAGGTAACTGAACTAAATGACTATCGCCCCGTAGCACCACTTCTGTCATCATGGAGTGCTTTGAGAGACTAGTCAAGGATCATATCACCTCCACCTTACCTGACACCCTAGACCCACTTCAATTTGCTTACCGCCCCAATAGGTCCAATAACCATGCAATCGCCATCACACTGCACACTGCCCTATCCCATCTGGACAAGAGGAATACCTAGGTAAGAATGCTGTTCATTGACAATAGCTTATCATTCAACACCATAGTACCCTCCAAGCTCATCATTAAGCTTGAGGCCCTGGGTCTCAACCCCACCCTGTGCAATTGGATCCTGGACTTCCTGACGGGCCGCCCCCGGTGTTGAAGGTAGGAAACAACATCTCCACTCCACTGATCCTCAACACTGGGGCCCCTCCTGTACTCCCTGTTCACCCATGACTGCGTAGCCATGCACGCCTCCAACTCAATCATCAAGTTTGCAGACGACACAACAGTAGTAGGCTTGATTACCAACAACGATGAGACAGCCTACAGGGAGGAGGTTAGAGCTCTCGGAGTGTGGTGTCAGGAAAATAACCTCTCACTCAAAGTCAACAAAACAAAGGAGATGATCGTGGACTTCTGGAAACAGCAGGGGGAGTACCCCCCACTATCCACAACGACAGGACAGCAGTGGAGAAGGTGGAAAGTTTTAAGTTCCTCGGCGTACATACAGTGAGGGAAAAAAGTATTTGATCCCCTGCTGATTTTATACGTTTGCCCACTGACAAAGACATGATCAGTCTATAATTTTAATGGTAGGTTTATTTGAACAGTGAGAGACAGAATAACAAACAAAAAATCCAGAAAAACGCATGTCAAAAATGTTATAAATTGATTTGCATTTTTAATGAGGGAAATAAGTATTTGACCCCTCTGCAAAATATGACTTAGTACTTGGTGGCTAAACCCTTGTTGGCAATCACAGAGGTCAGACGTTTCTTGTAGTTGGCCACCAGGTTTGCACACATCTCAGGAAGGATTTTGTCCTATTCCTCTTTGCAGATCTTCTCCAAGTCATTAAGGTTTTGAGGCTGACGTTTGACAACTCGAACCTTCAGCTCCCTCCACAGATTTTCTATGGGATTAAGGTCTGGAGACTGGCTAGGCCACTCCAGGACCTTAATGTGCTTCTTCTTGAGCCACTCCTTTGTTGCCTTGGCCGTGTGTTTTGGGTCATTGTCATGCTGGAATACCCATCCACGACCCATTTTCAATGCCCTGGCTGAGGGAAGGAGGTTCTCACCCAAGATTTGACGGTACATGGCTCCGTCCATCGTCCCTTTGATGCGGTGAAGTTGTCCTGTCCCCTTAGCAGAAAAACAACCCCAAAGCATAATGTTTCCACCTCCATGTTTGATGGTGGGGATGGTGTTCTTGGGGTCATAGGCAGCATTCCTCCTCCTCCAAACGAGTTGAGTTGATGCTAAAGAGCTTGATTTTGGTCTCATCTGACCACAACACTTTCACCCAGTTCTCCACTGAATCATTCAGATGTTCATTGGCAAACTTTAGACGGGCCTGTATATGTGTTTCTTGTGCAGAGGGACCTTGCGGGCGCTGCAGGATTTCAGCCCTTCACAGCGTAGTGTGTTACCAATTGTTTTCTTGGTGACTGTGGTCCCAGCTGCCTTGAGATCATTGACAAATCCTCCCGTGTAGTTCTGGGCTGATTCCTCACCGTTCTCATGATCATTGCAACTCCATGAGGTGAGATCTTGCATGGAGCCCCAGGCCGAGGGAGACTGACAGTTCTTTTGTGTTTCTTCCATTTGCGAATAATCGCACCAACTGTTATCACCTTCTCACCAAGCTGCTTGGCGATGGTCTTGTAGCCCATTCCAGCCTTGTGTAGGTCTACAATCTTGTCCCTGACATCCTTGGAGAGCTCTTTGGTCTTGGCCATGGTGGAGAGTTTGGAATCTGATTGATTGATTGCTTCAGTGGACAGGTGTCTTTTATACATGTAACAAGCTGAGATTAGGAGCACTCCCTTTAAGAGTGTGCTCCTAATCTCAGCTCGTTACCTGTATAAAAGACACCTGGGAGCCAGAAATCTTTCTGATTGAGAGGGGGTCAAATACTTATTTCCCTAATTAAAATGCAAATCAATTTATAACATTTTTGAAGTGCGTTTGTCTGGATTTTGTTGTTGTTATTCTGTCTCTCACTGTTCAAATAAACCTACCATTACAATTATAGACTGATCATTTCTTTGTCAGTGGGCAAATGTATAAAATCAGCATGGGATCAAATACTTTTTTTCCCTCACTGTATCACTGACAAACTGAAATGTTCCACCCACACAGACAGTGTGGTGAAGAAGGCGTAACAGCTTCTCTTCATCCCTCAAACTTTTACAGATGCACAACTGAGAGCATCCTGTCGGGCTGTATCACCGCCTGGTACGGCAACTGCATAGCCCACAACCACAGGGCTCTCCAGAGAGTGGTGCGGTCTGCACAACGCATCACCGGGGGCAAACTACCTGCTCTCCAGGACTCCTACAGAACCAATGTCACAGGAAGGCCAAAAAAGATAATCAAGGACAACTACCACCCGAGCCACTGCCTGTTCACACCGCTATCATCCAGAAGGCGAGGTCAGTACAGATGCATCAAAGCTGGGACCGAGAGACTGAAAAACAGCTTCTATCTTAAGGCCATCAGACTGTTAAACAGCCATCACTAGCACAGAGGCGCTGCTGCCTATAAACAGACTTGAAAATCATTGGCCACTTTAATAAATGGAACACTAGTCACTTTAATAATGTCACTTTAATAATGTTTACATATCTTGCATTACTCGTCTCATATGTATATACTGTTTCTATACTATCGTAATAATGTTTACATATCTTGCATTACCCATCTCATATGTATATACTGTATTCTATACTATCTATTGCATCTTAGCCTATGCCGCTCTGACAATGATATTGCTCATCCATATATTTATATATTCTTATTCCATTCCTTTACTTAGATTTGTGTGCATTAGATATTTGTTGTGGAACTGTTAGATATTACTTGCTAGATATTACTGCACTGTCGGTACTAGAAGCACAAGCATTTCGCTACACTCGCAATAACATCTGCTAACCATGTGTATGTGACCAATATATTTGATTTGATTTTGATTTGTGATTTATTTAGAACTCAAGGCACACTTAACCAGCATGGCTACCACAACATTCTGCAGCGATACGCCATCTTATCTGGTTTGCACTTAGTTGGACTATAATTTGTTTTTCAACAGAACAATGACCCAACACACCTCCAGGCTGTGTAAGGGCTATTTGACTAAGAAGGAGAGTGATGGAGTGCTGCATCAGATGACCTGTCCTCCACAATCCCCCGACCTCAACCCAATTGAGATGGTTTAGGATGAGTTGGACCGCCTAGTGAAAGAAGCAGCCAACAAGTGCTCAGCATATGTGGGAACTCCTTCATGACTGTTGGAAAAGCATTCCAGGTGAAGCTGGTTGAGAGAATGCCAAGAGTGTGCAAAGCTGTCATCAAGGCAAAGGGGTGGCTACTTTGAAGAATCTAAAATCTAAAATATATTTTGATTTGTTTAACACGTTTTTGGTTATTACATGATTCCATGTGTTATTTCATAGTTTTGATGTCTTCACTATTATTCTACAACGTAGAAAATAGTACAAATAAAGAAAAACCCTTGAATGAGTAGGTGTGTCCAAACCTTTGACTGGTACTGTATGTCACTTTGTCAAGACAGCAGCAGGGCCAACAGCTTACATGAACATTAGATAGGATGCAGTATTGCTACACTTACGTTTTGCGAGTTACAATGAAACATTGTGAACCTCAGCCATTTTAAATGTAAGTTCAGACAAACCTCCGCTCATTAAAATGGATGAGTGACACCCATTTCCACACTAAGTCTTTCACTCATCCTGCTTTTCCTTTGAGCTTTCAACCCTTCAAGGCAAACACTTCGACGGCTTCCTACTGTATAATCATCACAGGCAAAAATTTTCAGATACATTTTTCAGATGTGTGTGTCTGTACTAAGAAGTCCTTTTATGAAGTCCCTTCAAGAAAATAGTTGTTTTTATTAGTAATAGTGGCTACTTACTGAGGTGCTGAATGATGTGGTCTATGGTGGGCTTGAAGAGGGCGTTCATGGCATCAGGGTTCATTCTCAGCATGCCCTGGGAGGACCACTTCACAAAGTCCACACTGCAGAGAGAAGAGAGGACAGATAAGCATGCCATTATTGACGCTGCTCTGATTACCAGTAGATTTGTAGGCTACTGTATAAGCACTGATACAATGCACCCTGAACCAGACGTCCTTCTTCGTCAGTAGGTGGCCTATAATGACTTTAGGACCTTTTTTATTTTTTATTTTTTTTACAGTCTGAATGAATATAATAAAATCCCTGCATCTTTCACAAATGTTTACCCATTGTGCTTCTTGGTATATTATCTGTATGGAGATTGAACACATTGAGCTCTCTTTGGAATACATGTATGTCTGTAGGAAAACAATAGATACAGTGAGGGAAAAAAGTATTTGATCCCCTGCTGATTTTGTACGTTTGATCCCCTGCTGATTTTGTACGTTTGCCCACTGACAAAGAAATGATCAGTATATAATTTTAATGGTAGGTTTATTTGAACAGTGAGAGACAGAATAACAACAACAACAAATCCAGAAAAACGCATGTCAAAAATGTTTTAAATTGATTTGCATTTTAATGAGGGAAATAATTATTTGACCCCCTCTCAATCAGAAAGATTTCTGGCTCCCAGGTGTCTTTTATAGAGGTAACGAGCTGAGATTAGGAGCACACTCTTAAAGGGAGTGCTCCTAATCTCAGTTTGTTACCTGTATAAAAGACACCTGTCCACTGAAGCAATCAATCAATCAATCAGATTCCAAACTCTCCACCATGGCCAAGACCAAAGAGCTCTCCAAGGATGTCAGGGACAAGATTGTAGACCTACACATGGCTGGAATGGGCTACAAGACCATCGCCAAGCAGCTTGGTGAGAAGATGACAACAGTTGGTGCGATTATTCGCAAACGGAAGAAACACAAAAGAACTGTCAATCTCCCTCGGCCTGGGGCTCCATGCAAGATCTCACCTCGTGGAGTTGCAATGATCATGAGAACGGTGAGGAGTCAGCCCAGAACTACAAGGGAGGATCTTGTCAATGATCTCAAGGCAGCTGGGACCATAGTCACCAAGAAAACAATTGGTAACACACTACGCCGTGAAGGACTGAAATCCTGCAGCGCCCGCAAGGTCCCACTGCTCAAGAAAGCACATACAGTGGGGGAAAAAAGTATTTAGTCAGCCACCAATTGTGCAAGTTCTCCCACTTAAAAAGATGAGAGAGGCCTGTAATTTTCATCATAGGTACACGTCAACTATGACAGACAAATTGAGAATTTTTTTCCCAGAAAATCACATTGTAGGATTTTTAATGAATTTATTTGCAAATTATGGTGGAAAATAAGTATTTGGTCACCTACAAACAAGCAAGATTTCTGGCTCTCACAGACCTGTAACTTCTTCTTTAAGAGGCTCCTCTGTCCTCCACTCGTTACCTGTATTAATGGCACCTGTTTGAACTTGTTATCAGTATAAAAGACACCTGTCCACAACCTCAAACAGTCACACTCCAAACTCCACTATGGCCAAGACCAAAGAGCTGTCAAAGGACACCAGAATCAAAATTGTAGACCTGCACCAGGCTGGGAAGACTGAATCTGCAATAGGTAAGCAGCTTGGTTTGAAGAAATCAACTTTGGGAGCAATTATTAGGAAATGGAAGACATACAAGACCACTGATAATCTCCCTCGATCTGGGGCTCCACGCAAGATCTCACCCCGTGGGGTCAAAATGATCACAAGAACGGTGAGCAAAAATCCCAGAACCACACAGGGGGACCTAGTGAATGACCTGCAGAGAGCTGGGACCAAAGTAACAAAGCCTACCATCAGTAACACACTACGCCGCCAGGGACTCAAATCCTGCAGTGCCAGACGTGTCCCCCTGCTTAAGCCAGTACATGTCCAGGCCCGTCTGAAGTTTGCTAGAGTGCATTTGGATGATCCAGAAGAGGATTGGGAGAATGTCATATGGTCAGATGAAACCAAAATAGAACTTTTTGGTAAAAACTCAACTCGTTGTTTTGGAGGACAAAGAATGCTGAGTTGCATCCAAAGAACACCATACCTACTGTGAAGCATGGGGGTGGAAACATCATGCTTTGGGGCTGTTTTTCTGCAAAGGGACCAGGACGACTGATCCGTGTAAAGGAAAGAATGAATGGGGCCATGTATCGTGAGATTTTGAGTGAAAACCTCCTTCCATCAGCAAGGGCACTTCAGCCACGCTCAAGGTCCTAAACGATATTATAACCGCGATCGATAATAGACAGTACTGTGCAGCCGTTTTCATTGACCTGGCCAAGGCTTTCGACTCTGTCAACCACCGCATTCTTATTGGCAGACTAAATAGCCTTGGTTTCTCAAATGACTGCCTCGCCTGGTTCACCAACTACTTCTCAGATAGAGTTCAATGTGTCAAATCGGAGGGCCTGTTGTCTGGACCTATGGCAGTCTCTATGGCGGTGCCACAGGGTTCAATTCTTGGGCCAACTCTTTTCTCTGTGTATATCAATGACGTCGCTCTTGCTGCTGGTGACTCTCAGATCCACCTCTACGCAGACGACACCATTTTGTATACATCTGGCCCTTCATTGGACACTGTGTTAACAAACCTCCAAACGAGCTTCAATTCCATACAACACTCCTTCAGTAGCCTCCAACTGCTCTTAAACACTAGTAAAACTAAATGCATGCTCTTCAACCGAACGCTGCTTGCACCCGCCCACCCGACTAGAATCACTACTCTAGACGGGTCTGACCTAGAGTATGTGGACAACTACAAATATCTAGGTGTCTGGTTAGACTGTAAACTCTCCTTCCAGACTCACATTAAGAATCTCCAATCCAAAGTTAAATCTAGAATCGGTTTCCTATTTCGCAACAAAGCCTCCTTCACTCATGCTGCCAAACATGCCCTCGTAAAACTGACTATCCTACCGATCCTTGACTTCGGCGATGTCATTTACAAAATAGCCTCCAACACTCTACTCAGCAAATTGGATGTTGTCTATCACAGTGCCATCCGTTTTGTCTCCAAAGCCCCATATAATACCCACCACTGTGACCTGTACGCTCTTGTTGGCTGGTCCTCACTACATATTCGTCGCCAAACCCACTGGCTCCAGGCCATCTATAAATCACTGCTAGGCAAATCCCCGCCTTATCTTAGCTCATTGGTCACCATAGCAACACCCACCCGTAGTCTGCGCTCCAGCGGGTATATCTCACTGGTCATCCCCAAAGCCAACACCTCCTTTGGCCGAAATTCCTTCCAGTTCTCTGCTGCCAATGACTGGAACAAATTGCAAAAATCTCTGAAGCTGGAGACACTTATCTCCCTCACTAACTTTAAGCATCAGTTGTCAGAGCACCTTACCGATCACTGCACCTGTACACAGCCCATCTGAAATTAGCCCGCCCAACTACCTCATCCCTATATTGTTATTTATTTTGCTCATTTGTACCCCAGTATCTCTATTTGCACATCATCTCTTGCACATCATTCCAGTGTTAATACTAAATTGTAATTATTTTGCACTATAGCCTATTTTATTGCCTTACCTCCATAACTTGCTAAATTTGCACACACTGTATATATATGTATTTCTGTTTCTGTATTTTTGATTTTTGACTTTGTTTTGTTTTACCCCATATGTAACTCTGTGTTGTTGTTTTTTTTATCGCACTGCTTTGCTTTATCTTGGCCAGGTCGCAGTTGTAAATGAGAACTTGTTCTCAACTGGTTTACCTGGTTAAATAAAGGTGAAATAAAAAAAATAAAAAAATAAAAGGGCATTGAAGATGAAACGTGGCTGGGTCTTTCATCATGACAATGATCCCAAACACATCGCCCGGGCAACGAAGGAGTGGCTTCGTAAGAAGCATTTCAAGGTCCTGGAGTGGCCTAGCCAGTCTCCAGATCTCAACCCCATAGAAAATCTTTGGAGGGAGTTGAAAGTCTTTGTTGCCCAGCGACAGCCCCAAAACATCACTGCTCTAGAGGAGATCTGCATGGAGGAATGGGCCAAAATACCAGCAACAGTGTGTGAAAACCTTGTGAAGACTTACAGAAAACGTTTGAGCTGTGTCATTGTCAACAAAGGGTATATAACAAAGTATTGAGAAACTTTTGTTATTGACCAAATACTTATTTTCAACCATAATTTGCAAATAAATTCATAAAAAATCCTACAATGTGATTTTTTTTCTCATTTTGTCTGTCATAGTTGACGTGTACCTATGATGACAATTACAGGCCTCTCTCATCTTTTTAAGTGGGAGAACTTGCACAATTGGTGGCTGACTAAATACTTTTTTCCCCCACTGTATACAGGGCCGTCTGAAGTTTGCCAATGAACATCTGAATGATTCAGAGGAGAACTGGGTGAAAGTGTTGTGGTCAGATGAGACCGAAATCAAGCTCTTTGGCATCAACTCAACTCCCCGTGTTTGGAAGAGGAGGAATGCTGCCTATGACCCCAAGAACACCATCCCCACCGTCAAACATGGAGGTAGAAACATTATGCTTTGGGGGTGTTTTTCTGCTAAGGGGACAGGACAACTTCACCACATGTACCGTCAAATCTTGGGTGAGAACCTCCTTCCCTCAGCCAGGGCATTGAAAATGGGTCGTGGATATGTATTCCAGCATGACAATGACCCAAAACACATGGCCAAGGCAACAAAGGAGTGGCTCAAGAAGAAGCACATTAAGGTCCTGGAGTGGCCTAGCCAGTCTCCAGACCTTAATCCCATAGAAAATCTGTGGAGGGAGCTGAAGGTTTGAGTAGCCAAACGTCAGCCTCGAAACCTTAATGACTTGGAGAAGATCTGCAAAGAGGAGTGGAACAAAATCCCTCCTGAGATGTGTGCAAACCTGATGGCCAACTACAAGAAACGTCTGACCTCTGTGATTGCCAACAAGGGTTTTGCCACCAAGTACTAAGTCATGTTTTGCAGAGGGGTCAAATACTTATTTCCCTCATTAAAATGCAAATCAATTTATAACATTTTTGACATGTGTTATTCTTTCTCTCACTGTTCAAATAAACCTACCATTAAAATTATAGACTGATCATGTCTTTGTCAGTGGGCAACCGTACAAAATCAGCAGGGGATCAAATCCTTTTTTCCATCACTGTACGTGGTGTCTGTCTCCATGCATTAGCTCTCATGAGACCACTGTTCTTCTACATGTACTGTATACTCATCCCCCTCACTGTGTTCTTATTGTAGCAGATCTTATAGGAGTGTATAGAATCCGTCTGGTATCTTTCGAGAATTATCCTAGATGTGTGTGTGTGTGTGTGCTTGCCAGTGACCTCTCTCTTTTACACAAAGGCTTTTGCAACACAGTGAGACATCCTACATGATTTACAGTTATGACTATGAGACAGAGGACCCGCAGGACCGCTGGAGGTTCAGGTTTCTGGCATCTGAATGTCTTTAAGGGTCCCATGTGTTTAATACAGGATGAAAATCTATACTAATGCAAGACAGTACTGTTAACGGCCAGACTACATGATGGTATCAAAGTGAGACAGGTTCTTTATAAATGCAAGGTTTATTTTTAGTTATTCAGTCATCTTTAGTGAATTCAAGAGCACAATACTGATCCAAACATTCATTAGTGTAACACTACTACTGTACATACTACTGTGTGTAGGCAGGAAGGAAGCATTTCAGACTTGTGTCTTATACAAGGTCATTTGAACTGAATGAACCTGAGTGGGAATACTTAGTCAGCTAATGACACTAGTCTACTGTATTGTACAACAGACGCATCTCTTAATGAGCTGACTAAGGTGGTGGAGGGGGAAAAGTGGTGAATTCTGAATTCCCTGGTTGGCTTACTGGGCATACTAATAGGAGTGACAGTGCACATCAATGAATGGATTTATTGCCCTTGTCCATTTCCGTCATTAGAAAACGAGAGAGGTGAAACTTCCATTCATTGTGACACAGCTTTGCATTTCTGTCAGAGCAGCAACAGTCTGACAAGAGGAAGACATGTACAATAGAAGATTAAAACGAACAGACTGTATAATGGATAATCATTGCCAGTGCCTGGACAACTGATTGATTGATAGAAGTAATCTTCATTGTATAGACTATGTATTGCACTTTTTTCTATGCATTTTACTGTATCGTATTGCATTATGTGTTTTGGTACTATGTCCTGTTTTTAAACACATGTACCCAAATGAATTTCCACTGGTGGGATAATAAAATGTATCTAATCTAATTTATAACACAGTTTTACAAACAAATCGATAATAATGGTCATACAGTGCTATGAAAAAGTATTTCATGGTTCCTTCTATTAAGGCAAGTCGTCCAGGTCCTGAGGCAGCAAAGCATCTCCAAACCATCACACCACCACCACAATGCTTGACCTTTGGTATGATGTTCTTACTGTGGAATGCAGTGTTTGGTTTTCGCCAGGCAAAAAGTTGACTCAAGTTTGCCAAAAAGCACCTGGATGATCATCAAGACTCTTGGAAGAACGTTCTATGGACAGATGATTCAAAAGTATAACTTTTTGGACGACATGGTTCCAGTAATGCCTGGCGGAAACCAAACTCTGCATTCCACAGTAAGAACATCATACCAAAGGTCAAGCATGGTGGTGGTGGTGTGATGGTTTGGGGATGCTTTGCTGCCTCAGGACCTGGACGACTTGCCTTAATAGAAGGAACCATGAATTCTGCTCTGTATCAGAGAATTCTACAGGAGAATGTCAGACCATCCGTCTGTGAGCTGAAGCTGAAGCGCAGCTGGGTCATGCAGCAAGACAATGATCCAAAACACACAATCAAGTCTATATGAAAATAATAAGTAATCGGGTAATCACTCAATAGAGAGTTGAGTGAGCTCTAGATTTTCAGTGTATTCTGTATCCTGTACCAATCCTCTAACCCTCCTCTGCAATCACACACACACACTCACATACGCACACACACAAACTCACTTGCTCTTGCGCAGGGCGTGCTCCACACTGTGACCTCTGAACTTCTTGTAGTAGTCGATGAAGGAGAAGGGCAGGTTGATATTCAGGGGGTTGGTCCTGTCCGGGGCCGCGGCCCGTTTCCGGGATTCAAACGCAATCATCAGATCCACCCAGGCAGCTGGCCGCTTGATCTTAAACTGATCGATGAAGTCGGGCCCGAAGATCTTACACAGGAGCTTCTCAAACTCATAGTCAATACCGATGGAGCCATAAGGACCGCCTGAGGAAGCGAAAATGAGGGTCAATAACAGCTCAAATGACTCGAGTCTTAGAGTCCACAGAACAGATGGGATGCATGGACCCTGATTAAGCCTACTGTTAAACTTCTCCTTTTAAAGTGTTTTTTTTAGTCTAGGAGTCCATGTTTAGCACATGGGTATGCGTGAACTTTACTCCTCAGTTTGAAGTTTCCCCACTTGAGCCAGCGATCAGCTAGCTTTTCGCGTGGCGCAGACTGGTGAGACACTTCAGGACGGAGGTCGCGTGTGCTAGCTAGGCAGAGGTCCCTAGTTCGCGTCAGGAATGGGCCGAATTAGGAGGAAATGGTACTCGCTAAGCAAGCAGTGTGACGTCCTTTACACATGCATCCACCCCAGAATGTGATAGAACAGCCAGAAGAATGTGATTGTTTTTGTATCGAGGATACTGCCTAGATCCATCTCAGTGTAACATGCATTCAGTGAGAGCTGCTATATGAGCATTGAGCATTCTCTTTACCTGAGGCCTTATAGAGCTCCTTGAGATGTCCCTCAGGGAGCCGTATCTGATGGACTGTGAGGTCAACCGTTCCGCCACCACAGTCAACCACTACATAGCGGTCACCTGGGGACACGGAGAGAGAGAAACGTAATTGGAGGAGAAGTAGCAGAAGACTATAGTGGTAGCCAATAACGCCTCTGAAGCATGACTTGTGACAATTTCCTTTAAAAGCCGCTTCTGTTTTTGGGACACACTCAGTGGATGTTCAGCATGAGTAGTCATGACGCCATCTTGCCTAAAACCCAAAATGAGTACTGGCGAACTAGATACAGTGTAGCTACTATAACACTGTGGCATGGAAGAGGGAGATAGAGGATAAGACAATTGGTATACTGGATTTCAGTCTTTTTATACAGTAGATAACCTACTATCACCATGCCCACACTGTCACAGTGGTCAGTAATCACCATGTGATCATGTAATCAACCATACGATCACTGACATGTCAACATCCAGCCAAACCTACAGGAAGCATTTGATTAGTAGAGAAATGTCATCGACTAGACTGTAAAAGCATGAGGTTATTAGCAAACACTAGAAAGATATTAAGTAGAGTAGATCCTCCCACTCAATAAGCATGATGTTGTTGTTTTTCAGGGCAGCGAATAACCAGCACGATGCATGATCAGCAGTATAAGAAACAGCAGGAGCAAATACTGTAGAGCGAGGGAGGGAGAGAGAGAGAAACAGAAGCGTAAAAGAGAGAAAGAGACTCTACCTTCTTCCAGTTCCGACCAAAGCTCCCCTATGACATTTTCCACCAAAAAGGTGCGGCTCTGCCGTTTGCTCCGGACATGCTCCTTGGCTGGTTATTGACAGAGAGAGAATGACTGAGTGTGAGAAGGGTGGAAGCGCTTTGGTGAAGCTGTGTGGGTCATACAATGTAAGTCAAGCGACAGGATGATAGGACTATATGATGTCTAGGATGGATGTGTGAAGTCAGTGGCAGAACTCCAGAACTGTCCATATAGCCTAACTGCAGGTACCCATCCCAGAAACTGTGTTGACTTGCAGGAATTAGGAAATCCATTGTGAGACTATCTGGATCTAGTGTTTCCGTTTCAGTTTTTTATAGTCAAACTGTATTTTTATTAGCATATACAGTGGGGGAAAAAAGTATTTAGTCAGCCACCAATTGTGCAAGTTCTCCCACTTAAAAAGATGAGAGAGGCCTGTAATTTTCATCATAGGTACAGGTCAACTATGACAGACAAATTGAGAAACAAAAATTGTAGACCTGCACCAGGCTGGGAAGACTGAATCTGCAATAGGTAAGCAGCTTGGTTTGAAGAAATCAACTGTGGGAGCAATTATTAGGAAATGGAAGACATACAAGACCACTGATAATCTCCCTCGATCTGGGGCTCCACACAAGATCGCACCCCGTGGGGTCAAAATGATCACAAGAACGGTGAGCAAAAATCCCAGAACCACACGGGGGGACCTAGTGAATGACCTGCAGAGAGCTGGGACCAAAGTAACAAAGCCTACCATCAGTAACACACTACGCCGCCAGGGACTCAAATCCTGCAGTGCCAGACGTGTCCCCCTGCTTAAGCCAGTACATGTCCAGGCCCATCTGAAGTTTTCTAGAGTGCATTTGGATGATCCAGAAGAGGATTGGGAGAATGTCATATGGTCAGATGAAACCAAAATAGAACTTTTTGGTAAAAACTCAACTCGTCGTGTTTGGAGGACAAAGAATGCTGAGTTGCATCCAAAGAACACCATACCTACTGTGAAGCATGGGGGTGGAAACATCATGCTTTGGGGCTGTTTTTCTGCAAAGGGACCAGGACGACTGATCCGTGTAAAGGAAAGAATGAATGGGGCCATGTATCGTGAGATTTTGAGTGAAAACCTCCTTCCATCAGCAAGGGCATTGAAGATGAAACATGGCTGGGTCTATCAGCATGACAATGATCCCAAACACACCGCCTGGGCAACGAAGGAGTGGCTTCGTAAGAAGCATTTCAAGGTCCTGGAGTGGCCTAGCCAGTCTCCAGATCTCAACCCCATAGAAAATCTTTGGAGGGAGTTGAAAGTCCGTGTTGCCCAGCGACAGCCCCAAAACATCACTGCTCTAGAGGAGATCTGCATGGAGGAATGGGCCAAAATACCAGCAACAGTGTGTGAAAACCTTGTGAAGACTTACAGAAAACGTTTGACCTGTGTCATTGCCAACAAAGGGTATATAACAAAGTATTGAGAGACTTTTGTTATTGACCAAATACTTATTTTCCACCATAATTTGCAAATAGATTCATAAAAAATCCTACAATGTGATTTTCTGGATTTCTTTTCTCATTTTGTCTGTCATAGTTGACGTGTACCTATGATGAAAATTACAGGCCTCTCTCATCTTTTTAAGTGGGAGAACTTGCACAATTGGTGGCTGACTAAATACTTTTTTTCCCCACTGTACACTACCGGTCAAAAGTTTTAGAACACCTACTCATTCAAGGGTTTTTCTTATTTTTTTACTATTTTCTACATTGTAGAATAATAGTGAAGACATCAAAACTATGCAGTAACGAAAGAAGTGTTAAACAAATCAAAATATATTTTATATTTGAGATTCTTCAAATAGCCACCCTTTGCCTTGATGACAGCTTTGCACACTCTTGGAATTCTCTCAACCAGCTTCATGAGGTAGTCACCTGGAATGCAATTCAATTAACAGGTGTGCCTTGTTAAAAGTTAATTTGTGGAATTTCTTTCCTTCTTAATGTGTTTGTGAGAAGATAGGGGGGGTATACAGAAGATAGCCCTATTTGGTAAAAGACAAAGTCCATATTATGGCAAGAACAGCTCAAATAAGCAAAGAGAAACGACAGTCCATCATTACTTTAAGACATGAAGGTCAGTGAATACGGAACATTTCAAGAACTTTGAAAGTTTCTTCAAGTGCAGTCGCAAAAACCATCAAGCACTATGATGAAACTGGCTCTCATGAGGACTGCCACAGGAATGGAAGACCCAGAGTTACCTCTGCTGCAGAGGATACGTTCATTAGAGTTACCAGCCTCAGAAATTGCAGCCCAAATAAATTATTCACAGAGTTCAAGTAACAGACACAGCTCAACATCAACTGTTCAGGGGAGACTGCGTGAATCAGGCCTTCATTTACATTTACATTTTAGTCGTTTAGCAGACGCTCTTATCCAGAGCGACTTACAGTTAGTGAGTGCATACATAAAAAAATAAATCATACTGGCCCCCCGTGGGAATCGAACCCACAACCCTGGTGTTGCAAAAGCCATGCTCTACCAACTGAGCTACATCCCTGCCGGCCATTCCCTCCCCTACCCTGGACGAATTGTGCGCCGCCCCTGCGATACAGTGCCTTAGACCACTGCGTCACTCAGGAGGTCGACTTCATGGTCGAATTGCTGCAAAGAAACCACTACTAAAGGACACCAATAAGAAGAAGAGACTTGCTTGGGCCAAGAAACACGAACAATGGACATTAGACCTGTGTAAATGTGTCCTTTGGTCTGGAGTCCAACCGTCGTGTCTTTGTGAGACGCGGTGTGGGTGAACGGATGATCTCCGCATGTGTATTTCCCACCATAAAGCATGGAGGAGGTGTTATGGTGTGGGGGTGCTTTGCTGGTGACACGGCCTGTGATTTATTTAGGCACTTAACCAGCATGGCTACCACAGCATTCTACAGTGATACGCCATCCCATCTGGTTTGGGCTTAGTGGGACTATCATTTGTTTTTCAACAGGACAATGACCCAACACACCTCCAGGCGGTGTAAGGGCTATTTTACCAAGAAGGAGAGTGATGGAGTGCTGCATCAGATGACTTGGCCTCCACAATCCCCCGACCTCAACCAAATTGAGATGGTTTGGAATGAGTCGGACCGCAGAGTGAAGGAAAAGCAGCCAACAAGTGCTCAGCATATGTGGGAACTCCTTCAAGACTGTTAGAAAAGCATTTCAGGGTAGCTATTTGAAGAATCTCAAATATAAAATATATTTTGATATGTTTAAAAAGTTTTTGGTTACTACATGATTCCATATGTGTTATTTCATAGTTTTGATGTCTTCACTATTATTCTACAATGTAGAAAATAGTAAAAATAAAGAAAAACCCTTGAATGAGTAGGTGCAGCAGGTAGCTTAGTGGTTAAGAGCGTTGTGCCAGTAACCGAAAGGTCGCTGGTTCTAATCCCCGAGCCGACTAGGTGAAAAATCTGTCGATGTGCCCTTGAGCAAGGCACTTAACCCTAATTGCTCATGCTCTGGATCAGAGCATCTGCTAAAATGTAAAATCTAGGTGTTCTAAAACTTTTGACCGGTAGTGTATGCTGATGAAATGTTCTTCCTATGGGGAAAAAAATGTGTTAGCTGCAAAGGGATGAGAGAACACTGGCCAAGGAAATGACATTCTACTCTAAATGTTCAGAACTGTAGAATGCACTTATGATCAGTACTTACAGGCTAATGATGACATTAATTGCATATGGACCTTGTAATCACTGGTTGAAAACAGGACAATAGTAGTAGTAGCATGACCACATCAACCAAGATGTCAGAAGGACATTTCCTCCAACAGAGTGGAAACAATACGAAGGGGAAGGAGGACTTTCCTACTCCCATTAGTCCTCAGGAGGGTGTGATAGTGGGGTCTATCTATGTCACCATTACCTCTTCCGTCAACATGTCAAAACACAATGAAGAAATAACCTTCCAGGAATGCTGTGAGAACGTTATGAGTTAGCTATGGTGGAAGCTGCTCGAGTAGAGGATCGGCCATTATGGGAAAGTTAATGTAAGTAGGAAACAGCAGCAGCTGGACAGAGAGTACACTTTCCCTTCCCGTAGGTTTCCCTTCCAACATAAAAACACCTCGGTTGGAAAAGAGTTGTAACATCCTGTTGGAAACACCATCATTAGGGAGGGGACATTGACTTTTTGTCCAACCTCTGACCTCTGCATTGCTACTGAAGGCAAGGCACACACAATCTGACCATTTATCGCAGAGTTTATTTCAAACCAACTAAATATTTCATAATTACTATGGAAAGACTGATGATAGAGTAGAAGATATTTCCATTGGATGGTGCTACATCGTCCTCGCCGGTTCTAAAATCCAGTATTTAGACTTGGGATACTTTGAGCACCATTTTCGAAAACAAACTCGGCATTTTACAGGAATGTAAAGATATAGGATAAATACAAACTCTGCAAGTCTTACAGTATGTGCTCATAATCATAGCTTTAGGCCCAGACCTAAACTGACCAGACGCAGACTAAAGCAGGTCATTAGAGAGTTTATAAAAGAAAAACATAGGAACACATCTGCTCCAAAGAGACACCAATAGCCTTCCGCTCTATAACAGCATGAGATTAGCATTGTAAACCATGATGGAGGCAATGAACATTGCATCAAATCAATTAACTTCATCCAAGAACCGTAAGGTAACAAGTGTCTAGTTACAGAGCAAATACTGTTCTCATATTGTTGCAGTGAGTATTCAGCATCAACAATACTAATGAATACAGTACAGTATATCATCTCTCATCTCAGTTCTTATGTGTGGGCGAATCATATCGAATTCAAACTAAAGCTACAGTACTACTATATAACCATAACAAATGAATCACATTCAGCTAATTATCGGTTTGACATAAAATACTTGGCATTCAAGGAATGGAGCCTATCGTTTTAAATTGACGCATTGGATAAATGGCAGCCTCTCACCAAGGTCACAGACACCTGGGAGAATGGATTCAATCCATGTTCCATGGGCTCCCAGCTCCTATTACATAGGTCTAGGACTTCTTTGAACACTATTACTATTCACAAGCCTCAGTGAATATGTCGATGACACAATGCTTCAATTGAACCAACACTATAGGTGAAATACACAGTCCCCTGCTGTCAAAGATCAACAATCTCTATAAATGACTTTTGAAAGACGTTGATACACTCTCTAAAAGAGAAAATGGAAATAAATGACACATTATTACCATCTGTCTTTCTTTGATAGAATTCGGGATGGAGAATATTATGGAGGAAACATTGCTTTGAGGGACATAAAATAGCCTTCAGCTTCTGTATAGAAGTTCAACCTCCTTAATTCGCATAAGGTGAGCTGTTAAACTAAAATAAATGGGAGATGAATCATTTCCATTCATGCAAGTGAATGCTTCTGTGAGTGTCGTTTTGTCCTATCCCTAGTCAACAGCATAGAGAGATAGGACTGAAGGGCACTAAGCTTCTCAATCTCTGGTTTAGATGATCTATGGAGAACCAAAACTATTTCCCGAAACAAAAGATTGATGATTTAATAATGTTTACATATCTTGCACTACTCATCTCATATGTATATACTATATTCTATAATATTCTACTGTATCTAAGTCCATGCCGCTCTGTCATTGCTTGTCCATATATGTATATATTCTTAAATTCCATTCCTTATTTAGATTTGTGTGTATTGGGTATTTGTTGTGAAATTGTTAGATATTACTTGTTAGATATTACTGCACTGTCGGAGCAAGAATTACAAGCAATTCGCTACACCCGCAATAACATCTGCTTAACACGTGTATGTGCCAAATAAAATTTGATTTGACTTGATGAGTGAGAGAGAGGAAAGGCTTGAGGGAGTTTATGGTCATTTGCGATTGGTGATTCACATGCTGTCAAATATGAGATTGGATTTCATTGGATAATATGGACCAGTTCTAATGTGGCATTATTTAGTATTTGAATGACCTTTTGTACATTCAGATATCAGTACAGTTCCCATGCTACATCCTGAATACAAAAAGTTATAGGCCAATTTTCCCATTGTATTCAAGGGCTCATGAACATTTTAGGAAAAAGAAACAAAAGCAAATAGACATGGAGTGTGATGATTTGTATTTGTCCATGCATTTTTTGTGTCTGAATATGAAAATAAAAGTTATGTTAGGGTTGAGGATATTGTCCCATACACATTATCCGTTGAGAGGAAATGTATGTTTAAGATTAATTGAAGGCACTGGTTGTTTGACTATTAGCAGCATTTTACATAAACGTACAATATCACTATAACAAACCTACAATATCACTGCAGAAATCTGTGACCTGACTTGAGCGGGAAGACGGTTTTCCCCGGCCACCACTACCTCTCCATCGTGAAAAAGTTATCCAGAATGATTCTACAGACAAAAACACAGATTTTACACTTTTTGGAATGATAAGCCTCCCGAGTGGCGCAGTGCCACTAGAGATCCTGGTTCCAATCCAGGCTCTGTCATGGCCGGCCGCGACCGGGAGACCCATGGGGCGGCGCACAATTGGCCCAGCGTCGTCCAGGGTAGGGGAGGGAATGGCCGGCATGGATGTAGCTCAGTTGGTAGAGCATGGCGTTTGCAACGCCTGGGTTGTGGGTTCGATTTCCACGGAGGGTATGAAAAAAATTAAATAAAAAATAAAACAAATAATGTGTGCACTCACTAAATGTAAGTCGCTCTAGATAAGAGCGTCTGTTAAATGACCCCCCCCCAAAAAAAAAAATATATATATAAGCATGCTTGTCGTCCAATAACCAATCTATAGTCCAAGATTAGTTTGAGAGGCACATACTGTATGAAATCGCCACATGGGGGATGCAAAATGTTACCATGGTATATTATTGTGATGTTCAATGTGATGCTCATATTCTGATTGGCCTGTGGGGTGACTGGGGTGGGATTTACCCTGGGTCATCCCTGCCCCCACATTCTCAGTGGGGCTGAAACCATTCTGGTTGGTCTTGGTGCCAATGTCAATCATCTGGTGGAGGCGGAGCTTGCGGCAGTAGATGGAGGCTGCCTCGGGCTCAAGGGCAATGATCAGCTGCTCTGGGTTGTCACGGGGAACCAGACCAGCCTAGAGGACGGCAGAGCACAGACAGGAAATACAGGACATCAGCTTTTTCCTTAACAGGTCTCAGAAAGATGACCCGAATAAATCCAGCATTGTGAATAACTGTCTTGTAAGTTACTATGAACATCCCTCATTGGTAAGTATTCAGGGTATGCTAAGGATTCAAGATACCTCAAAATAGAAAGCAAGACAATAAGGCTGTCAGTATCAAACTATTTGCTGAATTAATTTTGTAACATCAAAGTTACAACATCTACATACCCTTATACGGTAATACAATACTGTGTAAATACCATATACAGCTGAAAAGGAACAATTTAACACGACCATCATTAATCTAAAACATAATCTAGTTCACTACTAAATGATAAATAGCTTTTGGAAAAATATTGGCCTCATGGGCAGGCCACAGATTTGAATAAGGGATAAATCATGCAATCCTAACATAAAAGGAATTCCCAAAAGCTATTACATTTCTTGAAACAATGCCTTAACTTGAAGACCTATCAATCAACACATGCTGTGCTGGCTGGTTTGTGTTTCTGTCCACAATATACACAGAAAAAGACAGGCAAAGTATAAAAGCTGAACATTGCATCACATTCCTCTGCTCTGTGAGATCTGCATGTTGCGGTGAAGGAGTCGAGGAGAGTGAAGAGGAAAGGAGGAGAGGGAGACGTGGGTTAGGTAGGGGTGTCCCGTTTCTCCCAGTACCAGTAATAAATGATCCAGCCAGAGGATGCTGAGTCACTGCAGATGCGCAGTCTAAAGAGCCTCTCTCCTCTCCGTCTCTCCTCTCCCTCTATGTCTCTCCTCTCCCTCTATATATCACGCTCTCTCACTCTGTCTTAACCTCTCCTCCATCTCTCCTTCCCGGTCTCCTTCTATTTCTCTCTCCCCTCTCTCCTCCTTCTCTCTCTCCAGCCCATCCTCTTTGTTCACTGCAGAGGGGAGGGTGGAGTCGCTATCCGGCGGCCGCAGCCTCAGACAGACTGCCACACCCATGAGACCCTCTCTCACACATACTAATGTACTGTACCTCCACCCCTCCCCCCTCACACACCCATTCCTCCAGCCCTCCCTCCTCACACACCCACTCCACCACCCCTCCCTCCTCACACACTCACTCCACCACCCCTCCCTCCTCACACACCCATTCCTCCAGCCCTCCCTCCTCACACACCCACTCCACCACCCCTCCCTCCTCACACACCCACTCCACCACCCCTCCCTCCTCACACACCCACTCCTCCACCCCTCCCTCCTCACACACCCACTCCACCACCCCCTCCCTCCCTCACACACTCACTCCACCACCCCTCCCTCCTCACACACCCACTCCTCCACCCCTCCCTCCTCACACACCCACTCTTACTATGCTGTAAGCTGGCATGTCTGTATTGTGGAATAGTATACATTGGAGTTACAGTATACTGTCTTGTAGGGATCTGTAGAACCAAGGTATTCGTCATATTTATTTTCCTCTCCCCTCACAGTCTATTGAGAATTCTCACAATAGACACTTAATTCTCTTCCTCTATTCTCATCCTCAGTATGCACACTCTCCCTGCTATCCCTTGTCCCACTGTCTTATCCTCAAATTCTCTCTCTTGGGACGACTCTTAGTGATGAAATTATCCCTCTCCCTGGTGGCTGCCTCCAGCTGCCCTCCCTCTCCTCTCTGTCCTCTCCTCTACTGCAGTCGTGGTGGATCAGTCTTTCTCTCTCTGCCCCCACACAGGAAAGAGAGCGAGAGAGAGCGAGAGGGGGAGGGTAGTCGTCACTGTCTGGCACTGCAGCTCCACAGCAGCCACCAACCTCTCTCCTATAGGTAATACATCACAGCAGCAGCAGCAGCCAGGGTGGTAAAGCTAATCATGCACCGTCATCACTTTCTCTCCCAAGTACTTGCAGTACCTCTGCCAAACGAGAGCTAGTGGCGAGACTGTATGGACGCATCATTTACGCTGAGGGGGATAGATGGTTTGAGCAGAATACAGCAGACAGTAATTTGAAACAAGGAATATTTGACTTTCAACCTTACAATGCGTGTCTGTGTGTGTATATGCATGCATGAGCATATGTGCCTCCCTGTGTGATTGCATGCGTGTGCACATGGACATGTGTTGATTGACAGGGGCCAACCCACCTTGTAGGCCGCCTCCCTCATGAACTGCTTGGCTGGCATTTTCCAGATGGCTGGCACTGTGATGACCCATCTGATGTCTGCATTGTCAAACTCTGCACCCGCCTGGTCACTCAACTCCTGCACCGGATCACATCAAACATGGCATCTCTGTTCCCTGACCCACCATAACATCAGCACTATCGCTGAGCATTAAGAGCTATTTCTAATTCATATAAGATACATGCATTCAATATGAAACTCATGTTTTTTTGCATGTAATATACCATGAGGTAGAACCTGGTAATACTTTACCTTTAGTGCTTGCTCCTTGAAGAACGCCAGAGCGTATGCAAAAATATCAATAGCTTTTACTCTCTTCCCATTGGCTGCATGGAGTTCTGTGTCGATGGAGAGATTCTGATTGGGGTAAGAAGTGATGACAGACAAAACTAAAGTTCAACATTATCGTAATCTTTTAATTTAAACACCCAACAAACATCTACTGATAAATACTAAGACAGATCCAGTCAACATACTCAGCCTTATCCAAATAATGTCAATTTGTACCTCTATGGTAAAATATGTGCAATAACAGTAGCCTGAGCCAACAGTTACTGGCGGTGTTATCTCTTACTTGGCACAGAACACAGCACTTCAAGAGCTTGCTGCAACGTCAGCTCAGGGCAGCCAAGCTGCTAGCCCAATAATGGACTAAAGGAGCCTAACGTTACTCCTTATAGTCCAAGGACCTTACATGTTCTGTTTAAAGGGCGAATTGGCTCTGGAAGCCAAAACAGCCAAATACGCCATCTAAACGTGAATCGATTCTCAATTGCGGTACGGTTCTAGAAACATAAATCCCTTTAGTTTCATATCACATCAAAATAACTTCATAAATGCAAAACATACACTTACTGTACACTGTTTTAACCGGCTTTAATACAGTTGCAGCCGACAGTATTTTTCAGTCTTACATTTACACACAGGTGTTAGGAGACGCAGATAGCTAATTAGCACAGGTAGTCGACTCTGTCTTCCGTCTGTTTTCCATAAACACTAACATGGAGATATGGCTGTATGGGAACACTAACCCTAACCCTGTGTAACAATTTAACGTTTTATGTATTTATTATTATTTCTCACTGATATGAAAGATAAGGTCCTTATGCTTCCAAAACCGTACCACAAGTGATGCGTGTTAATGTTCAAACCGAGCATCAGGGCTCTTAACAAAACTCCCCCGTATAGCAGACGCCTTCGTCCAATGACTCTTTGTGTAATGTAATGGAACTGAGAGTCTTGATCAAGGGCTACCAAGCTGCCAGCCCTGCACAAGGGCAGACAGAGAGTAATAAGGGAAGTGTGTGTTTACCGCAGTTGTATGGAGTTTCATTTTGAACTTCTCCAGGTAGAGCCAGTGCTTGGACTCGGTAGTGTCCAGGTCGTGGTAGAAGTCACGTGCTGCGTAGCCAAAACTATGGAACTTCCTGTCCGGGGTCAGGAGGATGGTGGTAGGCGTCTTCTGATTGGACACTCCGGGGTCGCCGCCCTCCCAGCGTCTGGGGAATGACCACAAAACATTTAAACCAATGAACAACTTGGTTAAGTCAATGTATTTAAGTTGATGTTTTACCCTAATTTCAATGTTTACAACGCTGGTTCAAATGAGATGAAAACAGTACTGGTTGATGACTTTTTTTCAAATCCAATGTATTTTCCACGTTGATTCCACGTCACAATACGTTGACAAATTACGTTGATTCAACCAGTGTGTGCCCAGTGGGATCTATCTTTCATCTGTTGAAACAACTGGTTGAAAACTAAGTAGGCCTACTTGCGAATGATACTGGTCAATTATTAAAGGCCCAGACAATTCCCTACAGTGCATTTTCTCTATTTTTGTCAAAGGGTTCAATATGGCTCAATAAGATGGAATGCATAAAAGCATTGATGTATCCTGTCAATATTCCAACCTGAACTAAAAGACAACAGACATGTCCAAGGTTAATCACACACATTCAAGTAGTGTGTCCTCATCAGTGCCTCGTTGTCAGTCTAATGGCTTTCTGAACCTGACCTACACGCTAATTGAGCTACACTAGTTCTGGGCAAATGAAGGCTAACTATAATTAGTTTGGTTTCCTTGGAGATGAGTATATGTTTGCTAAGTGCCCTGATGAGATTATGGGTCTGTCTCACTGGGGGAGAAGCCTGCTGTGATGGACTCATTTGGAACATTTGGGGGAAACCACTGGATGCTCACTGCTAATCTAAATTATGATGGAGATTATCTTGGGCTCTTTTGCGCACAATCCGAGTTTATCATTGATAGTTCAGATGTTCTTCATCATCATCATTATGATCATTGTCATCACCATGACCATAATCATCATCATGCTAGATGGTATGTCCACAACCCTATGGGTATCATGATCCTCTTTGAAAATTCTGCTCCACTCCAAATCACATCATAGTGTTTCATGATCATGCTCTATAAAGCCCTTGTAACACTCTGGCTCCGGGACTTTTGGATTTGAGCCAGGGTGTATTTGTTTTGTTGGGTATTTGTTGTGGGGTTGGTTGTAAGGGTGTATTCGGTTGGTTGTGTTTTGGGTGTGTTAATTGTGGTGTCGTGTGACTCCCAATCGGAGGTAACGAGTGTCAGCTGTCGGCTCGTTATCTCTGATTGGGAGCCATATTTATCTGAATGTTTTCCTGTGGGCATTGTGGGTTTTTGTTCCAAGTTTAGTCTTTGTTACTGTTGGACTTCACTTTCGTCTTTTGTTTTGTATTGACGTGCTTTTCTAATTAAAAGTCATCATGTTCACTCGCAACGCTGCGCCTTGGTCTCCTGTTTTAGACGATCGTGACAGAAAAACCCACCTTCAAAAGACCAAGCAGCGTGTCAAGCGGCAACAGGACCAACCTACACAGGATTTATGGACGCCTCCAAAGGATTCATGGACATGGGAGGAGATACGGGCTGGAAAGGGTCCTTGGGCACAACCGGGAGAATATCGCCGCCCTCGTGAAGAGCTGGAGGCAGCTAAAGCCGAGAGGAGGTGGTATGAGGAGGCACAACGGAGTCGAGGCTGGAAGCCCGTGGGTACTACCCAAAAATTTCTTGGGGGGGGGCTAAAAGGGAGTGTGGCGAAGTCAGGTAGGAGACCTGCGCCTACTCCCTGGACTGACCGTGGAGAGCGAGAGTACGGGCAGACACCGTGTTACGCAGTAGAGCGCATGGTGTCTCCTGTACGCAGGCATAGCCCGGTGCGGTACATTTCAGCTCCACGTATCGGCCGGGCTAGATTGAGCATTGAGCCGGATGTCATGAAGCCGGCCCAACGCATCAGGCCACCAGTGCGTCTCCTCGGGCCGGCTTACATGGCACCAGCCTTACGCATGGTGTTCCCGGTTCGCCCACATAGGCCGGTGCGGGTGATTCCACCTCCCCGTACTGGTCGGGCGACGGGGAGCATCAACCCGGGTAAGGTTGGGCAGGCTCAGTGCTCAAGGGGGCCAGTAAGCCTGCACGGTCCGGTATTTCCGGCGCCACCTCCCCGCTCCAGCCCAGTACCACCAGTGCCTACACCACGCACTAGGCTTCCTGTAAGTCTGCAGAGCCCTGTGTCTCCTCCACGCACTAGCTGTATGGTGCGTGTCTCCAGCCTTTTCCCACCAGTGCCTACACCACGCACCAAGCCTCCTGTGTGTTCCCCGAGTCCTGTGCGTCCTGTTGCTGCTCTCCGCACTAGCCCTGAGATGCGTGTCCTCAGCCCGGTACCTCCAGTTCCGGCACCACGCACCAGGCCTACGGTGCGCCTCAGACGGCCAGAGTCTGCCGTCTGCCCAACGGGGCCTGAACTGCCCGTCTGCCCAACGGCGCCTGAACTGCCCGTCTGCCCAACGGCGCCTGAACTGCCTGTCTGCCCAACGCCGTCTGAACTGTCCGTCTGCCAAGCGCTGCATAAGCCGCCCGTCTGCCATGAGCCTTCAGAGCCGTCCGCCAGACCGGAGCCGCGAGAGCCTTCCGCCAGACAGGATCAGCCAGAGCCTTCCGCCAGACAGGATCAGCCAGAGCCTTCCGCCAGACAGGATCAGCCAGAGCCTTCCGCCAGACAGGATCAGCCAGAGCCTTCCGCCGGACAGGATCAGCCAGAGCCTTTCGCCAGACAGGATCAGCCAGAGCCTTTCGCCAGACAGGATCAGCCAGAGCCTTCAGCCAGCCATGAGCAGCCAGATCCGTCGGCCAGCCATGAGCAGCCAGATCCGTCAGCCAGCCATGAGCAGCCAGATCCGTCAGCCAGCCATGAGCAGCCAGATCCGTCGGCCAGCCATGAGCAGCCAGATCCGTCGGCCAGCCATGAGCAGCCAGATCCGTCGGCCAGCCATGAGCAGCCAGATCCTTCAGCCAGCCATGAGCCGTTCAGCCAGGATCCGCCAGAGCCGTCCAGCCAGGATCCGCCAGAGCCAGCCAGCCAGGATCCGCCATTGAGTCCGGTGCTGTCCCTTAGCCCGGTGCTGCCCCTTATCCTGGTGCTGCCCCTTAGTCCGGTACTGCCCCTTAGTCCGGTGCTGCCCCTTAGCCAGGTGCTGTCCCTTAGCCCGGTGCTGCCCCTAAATCCAGGTGGAGTAAGTTGGAGGGTGGTCATGTGGAGGAGGCTAGGGAAGCGGGTGGTGACTAAGGTGGGGTGGGGACCACGACCAGGGCCAGAACCGCCACCGTGGACAGACGCCCACCCAGACCCTCCCCGAGACTGTATGCTGGTGCGCCCGGAGTGCGCACCTTTAGGGGGGGGTACTGTAACACTCTGGCTCCGGGACTTTTGGATTTGAGCCAGGGTGTATTTGTTTTGTTGGGTATTTGTTGTGGGGTTGGTTGTAAGGGTGTATTCGGTTGGTTGTGTTTTGGGTGTGTTAATTGTGGTGTCGTGTGACTCCCAATCGGAGGTAACGAGTGTCAGCTGTCGGCTCGTTATCTCTGATTGGGAGCCATATTTATCTGAATGTTTTCCTGTGGGCATTGTGGGTTTTTGTTCCAAGTTTAGTCTTTGTTACTGTTGGACTTCACTTTCGTCTTTTGTTTTGTATTGACGTGCTTTTCTAATTAAAAGTCATCATGTTCACTCGCAACGCTGCGCCTTGGTCTCCTGTTTTAGACGATCGTGACAGCCCTAATCTATGCTTGGTTACTAATTAACATGGTAATTTGATACAATCCAACAATCCAGACCTGAAGCCTATTTATTCAAAACTCATTCTGTCACATGATTCAACATTGCAACAACATAGCCTCAATGTGACTGCATCTGCGTGTTAGTCATTGTAACAGAAATTAAAACATGGTTGTGATTTAAACTTTTTGCTGAATGCAAATAATTTCACAGTATAGCTAAACTGATCTACATGTACGAACATGACAGGTGAAAAATAGCTAGCCTACTGTATAACATGACCTTACATGGTCTGGACTGGAATATGCCTTACTGAATTAACAGCTCACTGAATAATGCATTAAGGACTGAGAGTCTGTAAATTATGCATTTATTTTCACTGTGCGTACAGTCTGTAAGACTGGCATTTAGAGCAGTGGGTAGCCAGAGGTCAGATCTCTGACAATCACAATCTAAAAGCCTTAGTGCACATACAGTACATATTACTAAATAAAGGATGGCTTACTGCAAAACTTAGCAGGAGCAGAAATTCTATCTAAAAAAATCAACACACCAAAAAATATTGTCAGTTGAAAGAGTAAGAGTGTTGGGAAGTTATTGAGGAACTTCAGGAACTGGCAGCCATTTTGGAATAGCTGTTTTTGTCTCAAGTTGGTTTTCTATTGGTTTGAGTGTTTAGCTATGCAATTGGATTCCTGCTCCATTGTGAGGGCCAGCTACAGTGAGGACAGGGGATGAATACTAATGTCTATGTCATAGAGACGCAAATTGCTGATGCTCACTATCAATACACCAATGCATTCCTCCTCTATTCAAAGAGGAGTTCTACCCTGAAATCTCTATCATGTGAAAACTAAAATGTTACAGCACCCCAAAAGAGTTCATTTGAGGTATGGGCAAACTTTACAGATCCAGTCTGAGGGCTCATCCTGAGAAGCCAATGTTTATGTAAGGATTTGGAGAAGATGGTTAAATCCAAACTAAATAATCTTAGAGCTCTGGGTGTTTTCACTGCAAGGTCTAGTAGTACTTGTAAAAATATATTGCTCAACTGTTATCTGATGTCTGGAGTTAATGACAGGAGAGGATTCCCCAATAGATGCTTCTCTCAGTCTGGGTCTCTCTGTGTGTCTCTGTGTTTCATCACCCTAAGGATGTGACATTAATGATTTTATTTAGAACAAAGACATAGAAAGAGTTGTATGTTATTCAGGACATAATTTCTACATCTCTGTGTAGGGGCTAGTGTTACTGTTCTACCTACTAGTCTAACCAACCAACGTTTTAAAACTGCTACAGAATTTAAGAGTTTCACCGCTGACTGTGATTTTTCGGTGCTAGAAAGTGTTACCTGTTTTCTGTTCATATTTTGCAAGAGGGAAAGTGCTGATTTTGATCGAGAGTCATGCATAAAACTGTAACAAGTTGTATATAGAGTTTACAGACATGGTTTCTCTATGGAAAACTCCTTATAACTATTGGTGATTGCCAGTTAAATCAACAAGTTTAGCTATGAATTGAAAAATTATTAAAATCAACAAAAACCTGCAACCACACTGGCCTTTTACCGATAAGATTGGCCACCCCTTCTCTAAGATATCCATGAACTCAAAGTTCAAATAGGGCCCCTAAAACTAGTGCATGAAACCATATAAACACCTGTCAGTTTTGTGAGGGACTGCAATGTACTGTATGGAGGTTGGCCCTGGTGCCTGGCACACACAGGGGAGAGAGTTGAACTTAGTGTTTTATGGGTCAGAGGATCTCAGGACTGTAGTCCAGCTGGTTCCTCAGCTCAGTGAACCAGCTCCCCCTCCCAGCGCTAACAGGACCATTACACTGACTGGGGCCATGACGACTGCCAATGAGGCATATAAGTGGTGAGAGGGAGCAAACACTCTTTCATCTGACTTCTAAAGACAATCATTGGAATTCAGTTAGAAGCCTCTGTGCCCTATACATCTCCATTTGATGACAATGAATTTGAGGAGCAATACTTTGATGAACAACTTTAACCTGGCTATCAGCAACCCTTCTGGTATGATTACGCCTAGATAAGGGCTAAGAACAGAAAGTAGCACTATGCATTCTTATCATTATTAGCTATCTCTTCTGCATCACCTGCCAGACAACTGCTACAGAAAAGAACAGCCTGACCTGAGCGCACCTCCCTATGACTCCTTCAATCGCTCTCTCTCCTCCTGCTACCAGGGACTGCATTGCAGCGTTGGCTTGGCTCACCTCATGGTGTGAATGCATTCTGGCTCCTTAGTGAAGGCGTAAGCATAGCCGCTGGAAGTGGTGCCAAAGTCGATAGCAACCACCACAACGAACGAAGGTCCCGTGTTGGCATTCGAGTCCGTGTCATTTTGCTGAGGTGGAGAGGACAGAAAACTGGAGTCAACAAATGGAGAACGTTTAAGGAGATGTGTGAATTATTCTGGATGGAAAAGCCGATGGCTAGTTGATGAGTTAAAAAGACGTGTGGTGAATCTCTCATTCCAATCTCGCCTACCAATCTCGCCTACCAATCTCTCATAACAAAGTAATGGAGTTGTTTGACTTCATTCGGCACTTATCTCCACACAGAATATTCCATGGTATGTTTCTTACCTGAATGTGTGAGGGTGACAGTGGGGTGATGCCAGGGTCACCCATGCTCTTTGCTGGAGAGGGAGTTGCCATTGCAGCTGAGGAGAGAGAAGTAGATACAACATGAGTGGTAAAACAACAACAAACAACAGATAGCTCAATCAAAATAATGAGATTAAGGACATACTGTATGTCCATTAGTATATTGTCACTCCCTATTTCACAACAATTCATAGAAATTGTGCAGCTGTGATCTTAGTTTTGATTGTTCAGTCATCCTCTGATAATACACTACAAAGAATATTCCCATTCTAATCTTTTATTTGAAGCTCCTAACTATATAACAACTCTTCATTTAAGAGAAAACGGTTGATGCACCTGCCTTTTAAACAAAACACCATTTGAATTGAATTAAAGATGGTATTTGTCCATTTGCCACCACTTTCATTAGCTTCACTTAACACTGCAGCACTTATGAAAAGGCCCTTTGTCAATGCACAATAATAGTGCTTCCTCTACAGTTTTAAGTGTCTGGGGATGGTTTCTCAACGGGACATCATGTTATCTGTCCGTTTTCCACATCGCTTGTCCTTTTCTCGCCCTTACAGAGTGGCTGAGTGGCCCGAATCCCCACAATGCACTTTGCTTGGTAATTACTGTATGGAATTACGGACCACCTGTGGATAGACTCCATCTTCTCCACCCCTTCCCCCATACCCCCATCCTAAAATCATAACCTTGAGTCTTATTTTAGAGGGGCAATCTGCATTTCCTACATCCATTTTTGGACTTTTAATTTCAATGAATGATATACACATTGATTCTTGGAGAACATCACTTATAAAGGCCGCATGAGCTTAGCTCTTACTGTCGTGCTGCAACCTGGACGTAGACGTAACACAGCAAATGTAAATCTGACTCCCTCCATTTAGTATGATATGTTACGTTTTGTATGGTATTTATTAATTTGTGGATGTCCATCATCAATTTTGTGTGATATGTTATGAATTACAATTGTTATGATATGTTACAAATTGCAATTCGTACAATATGTTACAAATTTGCAATACATATGATACAGTATGTTATGAATTCCAATTTGTTGTGGCTAATGTTAGCTAGGTGGCTAGGTGGCTAATGCTAGCTAGGCTAGGGGTTAGGGGGTTAAGGTTACGGTTAAGGTTAGGGTTAGGAGTTAGGGTTAGGGGAAGGATTAGCTAACATGCTAAGTAGTTGCAATAGCTAAAAAGTAGTAAGTAGTTGCAAAGTTGCTAATTAGCTAAAGTTGTCTGTGATGTGATTCGAACACACAACCTTTGGGTTTAAGTTACCATACCAAACGTAACAGGGCCATGCACAGACCTTTCAGGGGGCAGGTCCCCCCCCACCCCACCCCCAATTCATATCTCAAAATTCATAACATACCAAATGCCTCTATGTTCAACTTTTTGAGCATATGCCTATTTATTTTTCTGGACCAACACACTCACTCATCATCACAAATTGTAAGCAAGCTAGTTATAGTGCAATCGGGAAAAGAGGCTGGGCTATCAGCTGATCATTGATGATGATGATTGCTGTAAATCTTCTAGTTAGCTAGCTTGATTTATTTTACTGATTGTGATTTACCTCTCTATGTCTTTCTGCCTCTCTCTGCTGCACATATCAGCCAACCAGACCGAATATTGATGATGATGTAGGCTAAATCAATTGTTATCAAGTGTTAATCAAATGTTATGCTGCTGTGGCAGTACTGTTGATATTTAAACTAGCTAGCTAGCTACACACACTCTACCGGTGACCGCATCTCTCAAGCCATGCATGTTTGGATACCGGGCGTGTGCAATTTCCGTACAGGGAAGACTACTGGGAAAAAGGCACAACCACGAGCACGAGCTCCGTACAGGGCAGATCAACAAGCGCAACAAACGGACAGGGTGGGGGGTGGCGAACTTGACGATGACTTGTGGGCAGTGGGATCCGAACAATAGTGACAAAAATGTATTTTCAAAAAATAATTAAAAGGCACTTTGGAGACTGGAAGGGGGCCCTATCTGTGCACGTGACTGAAACGTAACATATCATACTAATTTGAGTGTCACAGATTTACATTGACTATGTTATGTCTAGTCTTTGAGGCCAGGCTGCGTCAGAACCCAAAAAATAAATAAATAAGAATAGTAAACAAACACTAAAACTATAATTTTGATGTCATGGATGGTCAGCCCTTGTATCATTTGCTCTGTCTATGAATTTGAGAGTGCTTACATTTCTCCAGCCGCCTCCCTCAGCTGTTACCAAAAACATTGGCGGGGTGTCGCTTGGTTATTGTTTGGTTTTTGTTTGAAATGCAGATTTCCGCTTTAAAAGAGAACAATAAAAATCAAATCAACACTGGAGGTGTAAAATGATTGCTCTAGTGGTAAATGTGTTCCAGCGCAGTGTCATTTAAAGGAGTCAGAGTTTTTTTGTATTTGTGTTTGTGTAGTTTGTTTACCTGGCAGCATAAAATTATTCATGAGAAATTTCATTAAAACGTGTATTGAGTCCCATTTAAGCAGTTGAAAATATCAATGCATACCTTTTTTTCAGACTATTGAGTGCAAGTGGATTTGGGCATCTGGTTGAGAATGTTCTATTTATTTATTTAGAATTTCCTTGAATAACCCAATAAATCCTTTACACAGGTCAACCAGAAACTAGAAAGCGGTTTTGAAGTCAATCAATCACTGACAATCACATTGTGGAGATGGTAATATAAATGTAAGTCATTTACATAACTGGCAACAGCAAATACATCATTCATTTAATAGTGTGGTGCCTTCACACTTACACAACTGTAATGTTATATAACAATAATGATGTCCTTCAACATCCCCCACTATTGTTAATGTTGGGCTCTATTCTTGCTCAACCTATCAACTGCCAACAAAGTTTCTTCAGAATGAGTGCTAAAGAATCATTGTTTCAATGAAGGTAGCTCACTTCACTATTCAATCCAATCTCTCTGAAGTGGAGAAGCCCTAGAATAGCCTACAATCCTGAATTCTAATAGTCAAAATACAATCAAGTCCCAACAGCACAACATAATTTTCTTCTAACAATCTGAGTGCAAAAAATAAACATTGAGCCACCACAAAAAGAGCTGCTAGATGAAGCCATAGATAGAGTATCCTGTTTCCCCTCCCTCCCTACATCCTAGCAGAGTGGTCCTGCTGCCTGGAATGTTCTACACACATTCTGACAGGAAGCAGAGGAGGTCAGGGGCCATTCCTCCTCCATAAGCGACTGACAGGCCTCCAGCCAGATATGTGTGCTGCATCTATAAAGTTGAAAACCTTTTCAGAGGCTCATTTTTTGTGCCTGGACTTTTTTCTCCTCTCTGCAGGAGGAGCTTTTACTTCCTGTTCTCGTCACATTCCTCTTTTTCCCCAGACGACTCTTTGCATTTTTCAGGCCCTCAGTACAGATCTCAGAATGGGTTTATACAGGAGAACTAGGCCCCAATCTATGACTGCACAATGGAGGTTTTTCCAATACCACAAATGAGCAGCAAGAACAGGAATGTAAAACTGGTGTCAAAGTTAATTACAAGAAAAAGGTGTAGATTCACGCGCAGAGCACGGCAGGTGTCTATTTCGCCTTCGCATAAGGCAGGAATCGTGGTCACAGGCAGGCAGGTGAATCAAAACTAGGACTGAAGGCTATAACTGATTCTCACAAACGAGCTAGGAAAAGGCTTAGTAGAGTCAAAATGAACAATACCTCACAAGGCACAAACAGAATGAACTGGAGCTGATGAGACCAGGTGAGTAACTAACAAAGGTGAAATCAATGAACAAAAATGAAAGACAGAGCTACGTTCAAGAACACAAAGAAACAGGGCTACGTTCAAGAACACAAGGTGAACTAAGAAAATAAATACAGAATCTTACACATGGTGTCAGAAGTGCTTCCCCCTCGTCAAATATAAAACAGGAGAGATTATTTCACTGAAAATAATAATGTTCCTTGTGAGTGACAAAAAAGTAGCTAACAGTTAACGGCTCTCTCATGTCTCTTTATTGAGCAGAGCAGCCCAAGCGGAGCCATTGCTATGGATACTGTTAGACCCAGAGCCGCCATGAGCAGAGCGCATGCAGAGCGAGCAGTGGTAGGGAGCGAGTGACAGACAGAGAGGAGCAGCTAATGGATTTACTAACGGAGGAAGTTATTTCTGATTTCGGGTTTCGGGCAGGGCCATAGACTTGTCAGAAGCAATCGGGCCAGGGTAGGGCCTGAATGTCGCGGGCATGGGTAGGGCTCGGGCTTAAAATTCATGCCCGTGCAGTTGTCATCCAATAGTAATTTTAATCCTTAAAACACAAATGGTTTGGATAGCTTAAAATAGACAGCGAGAATGTACCAATTCCAAAGTGCACCTAAAAACTGGTTATTTTTACCTCTAGAAGCCTGGGTACATCGACAAGCTCTTCATCTTTTCATTTTTCTAATGACATTGTTGATTCTTCCAGTGTGATCATCATAGCCCACTCTTAGTGAGTGCCTGTGTGATGAAGAAAAAAAGAGGCTAATCCAATCCAAGCTTTTAACCTCTGGGCCTGTGGCACTCCCCTGAGAAATGATGTCAGAGCCTCCCCTTGCCATCTCTGCCCAGATAGCTAGGCTCACACCACCACTTCAATACAGCTTCAAGTGTGAGGGGAAGGAAAGAAATGGGCGCACATGAAATGTCCTTCACATCGTCTCTGATTTTCTCATATTTTCATACTATAAGATTGAAAGACCGGTAATTTCATTGCTGCTTGTACGGGAAGATGAGAGCGAGAAAAAGCCAAAAGATGCATAAAACACAATGAGCAAACACATTCCTTGTACTGCTGTTATTCTTCAGAGACGCATGCAATTACCAAAAAAGTGGCTAGCACTAAAATATGATTAAAAAGGAACAGGGTAAGGACTTCTCCATCTTGGATCATCTGCTGGTTTATCAAGAAGCGAGATCACGATCGGTGCATTACCATGCAATGACAGTGTTGAAACCCATCCTTTATAAAATGTATGACCTATATACAATCATATACTGTACTTTACCTTC